TGGGAAGTCTTTGGCGAGTGTTTACAGAACTAAACTACTTGTAGTTCAGATGCGAGCTGTAGTTTGTATGCGCGAGTGAGAATTAGTTGTGTGGTACCAACCAGTCATTAACAAAATGAATCTACGACTAACCGCTCGGAAAGGATAAAAACTACTTTGTGTGACAGACGTGACCGTGGAGGACCAGCAGAATATTTTATAATACAAAAATATGCCACAGGACCAAAAACTAGGGGAAGTGAAGATGTTTTTAATATCCTGTCCTTAACTGAAATCATCGCATTCACTGACTCAAACAGTTTTCATTACTTTCACTATTGCGTACAGCATTTATTCTAAGTCTCCTCCTATTTAACAATCAGGATTCGTATTTTAAATCCCTCGTGATTTGAAGATGGCACGAATTAATATTTACATTTTTTTATAGTAAAATAATGTGTTAGGATAGAGAAAGCAAGTTAACCGACAGAAAAAATGACATGGGCATTTTTTTTTTCTTAAAAAAAAAAATGTCTTTGACATGCGCCAATATATCCGTGGAGCACTCGGCGACCCAATATCCCAATTTTGGTATTTTTTAGCTATTATGAAGAGGATCAGGAATCGTGAAGAGATATGAATTTTATTTAAAAAAATAACAGCGTCTATAGATAAATGGATCCGCAAACCAAACGCAAATAGGAAATTTCCTAAATTTATTAAAAAAAAAATCACGTTAAAATGGCATTACATAAACCAAAGAAAAGTATCTAATTTTAAACTAAGTACAGGTGCAAAAGAAAAACTCATGACTCCCACACGCACAGACAGGTGTGCGTGTTTAATAAAAAACAACTTTTGAATGAAAATCATAATGGAAATAAGTGGAATTTAATTTATCTACAAATTATTTAGATTACGATTCGTTTTTGCTAATAAGTTTCGACATTCAATCTGTATATTGTATACTGGAAAAATGTCAGTGGTTCTTATTCTTAGATGCCGTGTGACTTCAAGACGTGGACAATCACGGTTTTCATTAACTCCCCAGCCTTCGTATCTCAAATGTTTCTTTACTAACTACTCTTTCCCCTATTCTGTCACTGAAACTCGTTAGACAAAAAAGTGATTTGCTGCTTCCTGTTATTCCTTTTAACTTCAATTTGTCCTGTTAAATTCGCCAAGCCATCTTCATTTATCACACAAATGTCAATTTTCTTTGACTCGAAGCACAAGTGTCGATTTTGTTGCAATTTCTCTTGAATAATAATAAAAAAAGGTGCCGTTCGTAGTATTTCGCAAAACGTTATCGACAGTCAGAATATGGCGACTATTGTAGCTGTTTTTCTCTACTTAAGTGTTCACCCTAGTAAATATTGGAACCAGTAACAGTAAATCTCTTCAATACTCGATAGGTTTATTTTTGGTGTCTGAGCTGCTTCCAAAATTGCGGTCGTCTGGATATTGATTTTTGCCTTAATTTTAAGTTCCTCCAGTCATCCCCCCAACTCCTCGGAAACGTTTTCAGCGCCGGTAACAACTGTCACGTTTCATAACTTCCTCAGTTCTTTAGCAAATGTTTGAATACTTATCTGTTCACTTTCAGAGTCACTCTGGAGTCCAACGGAACAGCGAAATTCGACATTTTCTTGTTGGCTAAATACGATCTGGACTGCATTATATGTTTGAATCGTAGAGTTTCATAAGATTTTGTTTTATGCAATCAAACATTCTTGTATATAAACTTACCATTGGTCTATGTGATTAAAATAGTCGCTTGCACAGTTGCCAGTGAATCACTCCCATCCTCGTCACACGTATTTTTGTATTCCTTCTTGGCCATTAGACTAGAACCACTGAATGCCATTCACTGTCTCAACTTCATTTCCATACAGCCTGTTTTCTGGGAGATCTCGACATTGTTAATAAGCTTGTCTCGCCAGAACAATTACGACTGTATATTTATTGTATAAAAATACAATTATGGCATAAGGCCGAAAACAGAAAGGGGTTGAGGCTGGTCTTCACTATCTTATGCCTAGCTAATAAGAGTTACGACCCATTCACTCATTACAATTTGCGCATTCACCATAAAAACTCGTCCGTCACCAATCAACCATCCATACACTATAATACTGGATCCTCTCAGGGAGACCTACAAAACTCACCGAGACTTCAAAATTTGGTGACAAATATTTCATAGATAAAAATTTAGCATGAGAGACGAGGGGGATGAACCAAAAAAAAACAAAAAAACAAAAACTAAATACAATACAAAGCAAACTAAAGCGACTGATGTTAGTAGGACCTGTCCAACCCTTAAAAAAAGAGAGGCCACTGTATTCTGCTCATTGGGCAAAATGAAGAGGCTCTCTCGCTAAGGAAGTGGAAAGGAAAAATATATACAGACATGGCAAATCTATGAAGCTGACCCAGTCGAGATGAAAGGTGGGGGACAAAAACTGGAGACGTTGGGAATCTCAAACTTGGATCATAACCAAAGATGTAGCCGGGAGCAGCACTTACTCACATTAACTAGGTACACAAAGCCTGTCTAGTCTAACCAGAGGAGGGCTCAACAGGAAATCACCCCGATTTGATATAGGTTGACCTAAAAGAGAAAATCAAGGCTAGACCCGTTCAAACGAACCAAGCTCGCCTCAGTCACTCACCTTTCAGAACAATTACGACTGAGTAGTGAGTTCGAGCTTTACTGGGCGCCCCCATTCTTTCAGCCTTGTGCTACACGTAAGCTACACTTAGAAAATCACGGAACGCTAAAGTGCTTCTTGATTCTATTTATCGGTAGAATACAACGGCCATTCTTATTTTTGCGGGTTGGACAGGCTAGATTAACTGAGTTTATTTTCGTTTGAATGTTTTGTCTTCTTTTTTTCTTTTATTCATTGGGTCCTTCCCCTTCATTTCATGGGAAAACTTTTATATATTATAATACAGTTGTTAAAGAAAAAGATACATTTGTACGTATGATCAAATTTTTAAACATCATGGGTATCGATTGGATGGAGAAGGATGCGGTTTTGTGGTGAGTGAGGAAATTGTTAGAGTGAATGGGTCATGAATCAGATTAGCTAGATGTAGGATAGTCAGTGATGACCAGACTTTTCCCATTTCCCCTAGGCTTTCTGACATAAAAATGTATGTATTACATTTTAAATAAACATTTGTACACAAGAACAAATTTTTAAACATCATGAGTATTTTTTTAGGATCCTTGTGAATATTTTGGATGAAGAAGGATGGGTTCTTGTAGTGAGTGAGGAAATTTTTTAGAGTAAATGGGTTGGATTAGCTAGATGAAGGATAGACAGTGAAGACGAGCTTTATCACCCACTTTCCATTCGGCCTTGTGCCATATTAATATGTAAACATGTTAAAAATAAACAGTCTCTGTTTGCTGATTTCCTATTTTTTTCCCTTCCTGGTGACTGTTTCTCTGAAGTTTTCCATCCGTATCTACAATTCTCTTGATTTGTCTTCTGAGATGTCCATATAACAGATGAATAAATAGAGCGCTAAATAAGTAAATTAATTTAATTTAATTAATAATTAATCTCAAGAGCGCTTAATGAAATTTAAACTCATCGTGAGTATAATATGCAAAGGATTCTTAGCCAATAATAAAAAATTATATCATTATTTACAATATGAATGTAGATTTTCAGATTTTTCTGCCGTTTTCTTGTATTAAATATTTTAAATTTCTTTTTAATTACCGAGTGACGAAAACGCCCCATACACGTCATGTGACAAATATCGTAAGCCATATTAGAGACGTAGGGGTACCACAGGTACTGCAGTGATCACAGCAATGGTGCATCTACAGAAAGAAAGCCTGACGGAGCCAAACTCTCTTCAGGCTGCTTTTTCCATTTTGTAGACTGATTACCACTCAAGGCTAGAACGCTCAGTCTGTCTGGTTGTTAAAACTTAGCCAGGCAGGAGGAAGAGATGGATTTATACCTTTGCAAGGGTATTTGTGCGAAAGTAAATGTAACAGACTCGACTGGGATTTGAACTCGTCACATTGCTTTATGCGCTGAAAACCGTTACGTTACACGCACATAATTTACGCCCTTTACTTCGAGATAAAATTAATAAAGTTATTTTTGCGGAATAATGAACTCCGGTTTGTTTTACTTTCAATAGAATAAGGTTAATCGTGTGAACACATAAACGTTGATAAAAGAATGGTTATTTGGCTTAATCTTCTTTCAGAAACACGGAGAATTGTTTTTCCTGACTTAGTTTTTAAACATAATTTGCAAATAATGTTACACTACCAAAAAGGTAAAAGGACACCTTGATAAAACTAGAAAAACTGCTCGCTGGAGTTGGGAGGGCTGGCAGCAAGTTGGTGCATAAATGTTGCAGAGACGGGCAGTACATGTTGAGGTCTAGAGGATTGAATAAGCAGCAAGACAGACTGGAATCTAGTCGGGTTCAGAAAGGAAAACCTTAGTAGTAAATAGATGCGTTGCAGAGAGAAATATTGATGTAAGCATTTCAGTTTTTGAGGGTTGGGAAAGAAAATGGTTTATTGGTTTAGATGCACGGGAAATAAGGAGTTCAGAACTGAAAAACCTTGAGAGGGATAATTTTACTGAAAAAATACCAAGAAATATAGTGACTGATTTTTTTCTGACAATAGAAGAAAAGTTTCAGTGGAATTCTGGGTCTTATATCATTCTCCTGTAAGTGTAACATTAGTTTTACGCTGACTACTTTTGGTTTACCCCATTAAAAGTAAATCTACCTCTTTTATTTAACTTTTGTGAGCATTTCTCTTATTTATGTCTCTTTCTTTTCTTGCTCTCCATTTAAATCCAAGGAAAACGTATATCGCTATTACTTTGTCCGTCTAGTGGCGTTGGGTGAAGTGGCGAGCAGATAGTCATAATACGGTCAAGAGGCAGAAGTAGTAACGAAGAGGAAAATTCTTTCTTTACAGTTATAAAGACCGAGTTAGTGGAAGGAAAAGCTGAAGAAGCAAGACATACAAATGGTTTCTGTTAGTAAAGAAGTTAAAAAGGAAACAGAAGTGCAAGAATCAGAAACGACACATGAGGAAGCAATGGCATATGAAACAAGAACCAGACGAAGAAGCAGACAAATGGTATATGCTGAAGAAAAAACGAGGCTGAAAACAAGATTGGAGCAGGAGGAAGTATTTCCAAATATAATGCCTATAGCACATGCAAAGCTACATAGCATTCCTCTTTGAGTGCATTTGAAATTAACAGTGCTCAGATATATTACTTTGCAATTATATTTTCGATATTAGATATTGCGTATTTGCCCATATCCTCTTGAGATAGGAATTTTCATACTGTTCTTTCTTTTTCTTATCTGAATCATTTTGAACATATAAATGTTAGACCAAGAGGTAGACATCAAAAAGCTTTGGCTTTTCCGCTTGAGCTAAACAAAAAGTTGTGTCCTAATATGAACTTTCCTGAAAGGCAATGAAGACTAATATCTATAGGACTATCTGTCTATATTTCTGAGATGAGGTATTATGTACACTATTTACATTATTCGGAATATTGTCCTCATCTTTGTTGCTATATTTATCACAACGTTTCGGCCGTTGTACGCTCTGGCCTTCTTCAGGTGATTGGAATGTCAAACTGAACCCTTTATTTTGTTCGCTGGGATAGACTGTTTTATTTCCACATGCCATGTCTAATGGATGTCAGTTATCAGTTATCTCCTGTTAATTCCCCTCTCCTGCCTTAACAAGGTATTGAACTCACAACTCTTTGGGTTCTGTCACTGGATCTAGCCAACGCCTTTATCCACTGTGCCATGTTGGTTAGATCCAGTGACAGGACCCAAAGAGTTGTGAGTTCAATACCTGGTTAAGGCAGTGGAGAACTTGAAAAGGGGAATTAAAAGGAGATAACTAATAACTGGCATCCATTAGACACGGCACGTGGAACAAGAACAGTCTACCCCAGCGAGCGAAATAAAGGGTTCAGTTCGACATTCTAACCACCTGAAGAAGGCCGGAGCGTACATCGGCCGAAACGTTGACAAATATAGCAACAAAAGATGAGGACAATAGTCCGAATAATGTAAATAGTGTTTATAGGACTGGTTTGATTGAAGATTGGCTTCATTAAGGTTAGTCTATCAAGAAAACGTGAAAGAGAAAGAATGTTCATTTTGCACGTCCGTAAGATATAAATGCGTTCAAATAAACACTCCAAACACATGTATATCGCATGGCGGCTTTTAGTTCTCTGTAGCAAGTGCAAATAGCCATAATAATTAAATAGAACAAATTTAATATCCTCTACACGCACACTACTTTATAATGAACTCATAAACATAAAGCAATAATTTCCCTAACAACATAACTGCTAAACATAAATAACCTTAGAAAAAATAAAAATGAATCATAATACAAATAATAAACAATGTAAAAACACTATTAAACTATTTTACAGAACACAAATACACAGGAGCCACAAACAAGATGAAAAAATTATAAGAAATCTCTCTCTCATATATATATATATATATATATATATATATATATCACCTAACAACAAAAGAAAGAATTAAACTCATTATTTACTATAAAAAAAAATAACCTCCAACCTATGATGTCACAAAAACTGAAAACTTCAACAATCTATTGCTGTCTAGGAATTCGTTTGCACACTTTGAGAATATTTCTCTAATAATAATTATACAGTGGACCCTCGGGTCACGAACATCTCGAGCGACAATCACGCAAGCAGACAACAATGTGGGACTATAAGCCGGGAGTATCGGCGGGAGAGCGTCATTTGATGAGTAGCTTTAAATTTTTAGTGAGACTGACGCCCCATGCGTCTTAAGCAGAATCGAATGGTGCTAAGCGGTAGGAGAAGAAACGATGCACAGTCAGTTACCTGTTTATTCTTATGGAAGGGGAAATCCCTTGAAAACTATAAGATATCTCCCTTCCTCACTACCTTCCATCTACGCCATCATCTCTCCTCTGTACAGATACGGTAAGATGAAATTAAGTTTTCGCCTATATTATACGCGTTTATCTTTTTTTTGTTAGATTTAATGATTTTCTTTTGCAAAAGATACTGTTGCAAACGTTAAAATAAATAATTATCTAGGGTCTAGGAACGAATTAATCTATTTTACATTGATTTCTATAGGGGTAATAGTTTCGGTTTACGAACGACCTTCAGTGGCAAATTAAATTCGTGAACCTAAGTTTCACTATATATATATATATATATATATATATATATATATATATATATATATATATATATATATATATATATATATATATATATATTGTGTGTGTACGTAATTAGAACGTTCGGTTTCCGGCTATGAGACCCGAATTCGATTTGCCAGGGTCGATTTGCCAGGAAGGTTAATTCGTGATGTTATCGGCCCGTAGAGGCGATCCCAAGAGAGGTGCCAGTGGAAAGTGCCTGAAAACCATACCACAGCTTGTGAGTGAAATTAGGTAGACGTCGATAGTTGAGCTAGCGCGAAGTCGCAAGTCATCGTGACCGAGGGTTTGAACTTACTGGTCTTGTTCAAACTGTTGGCCACGCCAGAAAATGCGCTCTCCCCCAGAAACTTTAACTAAAGTCCGCTCATCATAGTTGCATTGTAAACGACAGGTGGGCTCTGTGGGTGTTGAACAAACACAAATGTGCCTGAGCAAGAGTTTGCAATAAGGAGAGAAGTTCATAGGTTATAAAAATATGGCTGCTTTTTTAAGAAGCAGAAAAATACAAGAGAGCCAGAAATTAAAAATTAAAGAAAACAATCCTCGCAGTATTTTCACATCTTAAATTGCCGTAAAAGTGTTGATTGCGTATTCCTCACCGATATTTGACATTCGAACCCACGTAAAATGATGAATTTCGTATGCTCATATCTTTCACTTTGAAAGATTGACGCTAAACAGTCTTCCTAGTTTTAATTCCCTCTAGTTAGCCTTGTGCCAGACTAAGTTAAGATTAACATATATAAAAGGCTTAAATTTGTTTACTCATGTGTAAGGCAAATATTAAGGCTGTGGCTAATTTTCATGTCCTTTTCTGAATGCGGTTGCTATTGTTGATGACAACAATTTGGCAAGCCATTTGCGAAAACATTGACGTAAACAGTAAATCAACCCAATGATATGCATAAGTGTACATACATGTGTATAAAATCATAGCGCCATTTTATGTACACGACTAGAAAGAGAATTGACCTAATAAGATACCAAAGTCTCCTTGATTACGTCATTTCGAAGCCACACACACACACACACATATATATATATATATACGCACACACCTATACACGGGTGAGAAAGCACATATGCATTTGTTCAAATGAAAATATATATATATATATATATATATATATATATATATAGTGTACTTTGGCAGTAATCCCTCTTTTATACAGGTTTCATTAAAGACGACTAAGTACTGCGAATAAGGTTTTAAATTCAATTTTTCTTGTGTTCATATAAGTGATTTCTTTTCTGGACATAGTGTGTAAAATCGTCTATATGTTCCATATATCCGAGCGTTTTCGGCTATTTTATTAGCCATTATCAAGGACGATTTTTTATTTTTAACAATGTGTAAATTTTTATATATGTTTCTAGAGTGATGGGAATGTTTTCTTTTCCAAACACGGTCAGCACATTGTGGACGTGTTTATAGTTGATGTTATTGAGTATTGCCTTTTTCTTTTTTGTTATTAGTGCTTCCATTATTTTTAGTCATTTTTACAATTGGATGAGGCTATTATACTTGTATTTTCTAAAGGTATGTTGCGAATGGATTTGGTAGGTTTCAGTGTATGTTTAAATGAGTCCTAATTGAGCTATTCTCAGAGAGGAGTCTTCTTGATAGGCAGATAGTGGTATATCCAATATAATTATTCGTGAATGTTGTTCAATCAGGAACACAGTTCATTAAAGGACATGTGAATCCATAAATAATATCGTTTCACTGTTATTTCGATCTTGCAGGTAAATTGTTGTTCTTGACTATAAAGTTAGCCGTTTTAAATTATTTATAGTGGGTAATTTAATTTCCTTGTTCTGGTCGATTGAGGTTGTGTATTTCTTTATAAAGTTTCTAAAGGAGAATTAATTCTGCTTATAGTTAACGTGCATTTGATTTTTATAGAAAAAGTTAATGTTATTGTTTTTATCTGTATGTTCAGTATTGCTATTGGATACCTTAGAAAGAAATAGTCTAATTTGATGATCTGTGAAGTAGTTGGGAAAACCGTTATTAACTAACGTCTATTTCACGTTGTAGAGTTCTATAAAGAAAAGCGGGCATCGTTACTTCGTCATACAAAAATCCACAAGTAGAAACTCTTGCCACCTTAATTTTACTAGTGAATGTTCACTGAGATAAAATAAGCGCTATAAAAGCAGGAGAAAACAGCAAGTAACACACATAACAAGTTTTTGTGACTGGATAGCAGGACAGGGACACAGAGGATGGTAAGGATATAAAAGTGACCCAGAGCAACAAAAAGATGAACTTACGGAGAGCCGAGATCACCCAAGTCTTTTATCTTTTCTTTTTTTTTTAAATTGAGTTCCCCTCATGCAAGGCAGTAAAAGCCACTAAGACACAAGTGGCTACTGGGCGTGTAATAGTTGAAAAACAGAAACATTACTGAAGAGCGAAAACAAAGAAGAAAATCAGAACAGTAGATAGCGATTGACATTGCTTTTAAATTTTTTTAAGATAAAAGTTGACTGGAAAGCATTGAGCCGGAAGTGAGGTACCACAAGCGAGAAGTGCGAGAAAAGAAACTGTTGTCATAGAATTTACGGTTATATATAACCAATTCAAATGTAAATTGGTACGAATTTGTCTCCAGTCTAGTATTACACTTAAATTAAAAAAACAAACGAAGCACCATAGCGAAGAGATGATTCAAACAGTTGAAGAGATACCGTACATAAGAGGAGGAGGAGGAGGAGGAGAAAAAGAAGATCAGGAAGAGATACCGTACATAAGAGGAGGAGGAGGAGAAAAAGAAGATCTTGAAGAGATACTGTACATAAGAGGAGGAGGAGGAGGAGGAGAAAAAGAAGATCAGGAAGATATACCGTACATAAGAGGAGGAGGAGAAAAAGAAGATCAGGAAGAGATACCGTACATAGGAGGAGGAGGAGGAGAAAAAGAAGATCATGAAGAGATACCGTACATAAGAGGAGGAGGAGAAAAAAAAAGATCAAGAGATACCGTACATAAGAGGAGGAGGAGGAGAAAAAGAAGATCATGCAGAGATACCGTACATAAGAGGAGGAGGAGAAAAAGAAGATCAGGAAGAGATACCGTACATAGGAGGAGGAGGAGGAGAAAAAGATCATGAAGAGATACCGTACATAAGAGGAGGAGGAGAAAAAGAAGATCATGAAGAGATACCGTACATAAGAGGAGGAGGAGAAAAAGAAGATCATGCAGAGATACCGTACATAAGAGGAGGAGGAGAAAAAGAAGATCAGGAAGAGATACCGTACATAGGAGGAGGAGGAGGAGAAAAAGATCATGAAGAGATACCGTACATAAGGGAGGAGGAAAAAAGAAGATCATGAAGAGATACCGTACATAAGAGGGAGGAGGAGAAAAAGAAGATCATGCAGAGATACCGTACATAAGAGGAGGAGGAGAAAAAGAAGATCAGGAAGAGATACCGTACATAGGAGGAGGAGGAGGAGAAAAAGATCATGAAGAGATACCGTACATAAGAGGAGGAGAAAAAAGATCATGAAGAGATACCGTACATAAGAGGAGGAGGAGAAAAAGAAGATCATGCAGAGATACCGTACATAGGACGAGGAGGAGGAGAAAAAGAAGATCATGCAGAGATACCGTACATAAGAGGAGGAGGAGAAAAAGAAGATCTTGAAGAGATACCGTACATAAGAGGAGGAGGAGAAAAAGAAGATCAGGAAGAGATACCGTACATAAGAGGAGGAGGAGCAGGAAGATCAGGAAAAGAAGACCAGGAATAGATAGGAGGAGCAGAAAAAGAAGAGGAGGAGAGATACCGTACATCTTGGAGGAGGGGAGGAGAAGATAAGGGATAAGAGGAGGAGGAGGAGGAGGAGGAGGAGGAAAAAGAAGATCAGGAAGAGATACCGTACATAAGAGGAGGAGGAGAAAAAGAAGATCTTGAAGAGATACCGTACATAAGAGGAGGAGGAGGAGAAAAAGAAGATCATGAAGAGATACCGTACATAAGAGGATGAGGAGGAGGAGAAAAAGAAGATCAGGAAGAGATACCGTACATAAGAGGAGGAGGAGGAGGGGGAGAAAAAGAAGATCAGGAAGAGATACCGTACATAAGAGGAGGAGGAGAAAAAGAAGATCAGGAAGAGATACCGTACATAAGAGGAGGAGGAGAAAAAGAAGATCATGAAGAGATACCGTACATAAGAGGAGGAGGAGAAAAAGAAGATCAGGAAGAGATACCGTACATAAGAGGAGGAGGAGGAGAAAAAGAAGATCAGGAAGAGATACCGTACATAAGAGGAGGAGGAGAAAAAGATCTTGAAGAGATACTGTACATAAGAGGAGGAGGAGAAAAAGATCTTGAAGAGATACCGTACATAAGAGAAGGAGGAGAAAAAGAAGATCTTGAAGGGATACAGTACATAAGAGGAGGAGGAGAAAAAGAAGATCATGAAGAGATACCGTACATAAGAGGAGGAGGAGAAAAAGAAGATCAGGAAGAGATACCGTACATAAGAGGAGGAGGAGAAAAAGAAGATCAGGGAGAGATACCGTACATAAGAGGAGGAGGAGAAAAAGAAGATCATGAAGAGATACCGAACATAAGAGGAGGAGGAGAAAAAGAAGATCATAAAGAGATACCGTACATAAGAGGAGGAGGAGGAGAAAAAGAAGATCAGGAAGAGATAACGTACATAAGAGGAGGAGGAGGAGGAGGAGAAAAAGAAGATCGGGAAGAGATACCGTACATAAGAGGAAGAGGAGGAGGAGAAAAAGAAGATCAGGAAGAGATACCGTACATAAGAGGAGGAGGAGGAGGAGAAAAAGAAGATCAGGAAGAGATACCGTACATAAGAGGAAGAGGAGGAGGAGAAAAAGAAGATCAGGAAGAGATACCGTACATAAGAGGAGGAGGAGAAAAAGAAGATCTTGAAGAGATACCGTACATAAGAGGAGGAGGTGAAAAAGAAGATCATGAAGAGATACCGTACATAAGAGGAGGAGGAGAAAAAGAAGATCATGAAGAGATACCGTACATAAGAGGAGGAGGAGGAGGAGGAGGAGGGGGAGAAAAAGAAGATCAGGAAGAGATACCGTACATAAGAGGAGGAGGAGGAGGAGGAGAAAAAGAAGATCAGGAAGAGATACCGTACATAAGAGGGAGAGGAGGAGGAGAAAAAGAAGATCAGGAAGAGATACCGTACATAAGAGGAGAAAAAGAAGATCATGAAGAGATACCGTACATAAGAGGAGGAGGAGGAGGAGGAGAAAAAGAAGATCAGGAAGAGATACCGTACATAAGAGGAGGAGGAGGAGGAGGAGAAAAAGAAGATCTTGAAGAGATACTGTACATAAGAGGAGGAGGAGAAAAAGAAGATCTTGAAGGGATACCGTACATAAGAGGAGGAGGAGAAAAGAAGATCATGAAGAGATACCGTACATAGGAGGAGGAGGAGGAGGAGGAGGAGAAAAAGAAGATCAGGAAGATATACCGTACATAAGAGGAGGAGGAAAAAAGAAGATCAGGAAGAGATACCGTACATAGGAGGAGGAGGAGGAGAAAAAAGAAGATCATGAAGAGATACCGTACATAAGAGGAGGAGGAGAAAAGAAGATCATGAAGATTTTACCGTACATAAGAGGAGGAGGAGAAAAAAAGTTCATGCAGAGATACCGTACATAGGACGAGGAGGAGGAGGAAAAAAAAGAAGATCATGCAGAGATACCGTACATAAGAGGAGGAGGAAAAAAGAAGATCTTGAAGAGATACCGTACATATAGGAGGAGGAGAAAAAAAGATCAGGAAGAGATACCGTACAAATAAGGGACGAGGAGCAGAAAAAAAGAAGATCTTGAAGAGATACCGTACATAAGAGGAGGAGGAGGAGAAGATCTTGAAGGGATACCGTACATAAGAGGAGGAGGAGGAGGAGAAAAGAAGATCAGGAAGAGATACCGTACATAAGAGGAGGAGGAGGAGGAGGAGAAAAAAGAAGATCAGGAAGAGATACCGTACATAAGAGGGAGGAGGAGAAAAAAGAAGATCTTGAAGAGATACCGTACATAAGAGGAGGAGGAGAAAAAGAAGATCTTGAAGAGATACCGTACATAAGAGAAGGAGGAAAAAAAAAGATCAGGAAGAGATACCGTACATAAGAGGAGGAGGAAAAAAAGATCAGGAAGAGATACCGTACATAAGAGGAGGAGGAGAAAAGAAGATCAGGAAGAGATACCGTACATAAGAGGAGGAGGAAAAAAAAATAATTCAAGAGATACCGTACATAAGAGGAGGAGGAGAAAAAAGAAGATCAGGAAGAGATACCGTACATAAGAGAAGGAGGAAAAAAAGAAGATCAGGAAGAGATACCGTTCATAAGAAAGGAGGAGAAAAAGAAGATCAGGAAGAGATACCGTACATAAGAGGAGGAGGAGAAAAAAAAGATCAGGAAGAGATACCGTACATAAGAGGAGGAGGAGAAAAAGAAGATCAGGAAGAGATACCGTACATAAGAGAAGGAGGAGAAAAAGAAGATCAGGAAGAGATACCGTACATAAGAGGAAGAGGAGGAGAAAAAGATCTTGAAGGGTTTCCGTACATAAGGGGAGGAGGAAAAAATGAAGATCTTGAAGGGATTCCGTACATAAGAGGAGGATGAGAAAAAGAAGATCATGAAGAGATACCGTACATAAGAGGAGGAGGAGGAGGAGAAAAAGAAGATCAGGACGAGATACCGTACATAAGAGAAGGAGGAGGAGAAAAAGAAGATCTTGAAGGGATACCGTACATAAGAGGAGGAGGAGAAAAAGAAGATCATGAAAAGATACCGTACATAAGAAAAGGAGGAGAAAAGAAGATCAGGAAGATATACCGTACATAAGAGGAGGAGGAGAAAAATTAAGATCAGGAAGAGATACCGTACATAAGAGAAGGAGGAGGAGAAAAAGAAGATCTTGAAGGGATACCGTACATAAGAGTAGGAGGAGGAGAGCCATTGATCTTGAAGGGATACCGTACATAAGAGGAGGAGGAGGAGAAAAAGAAGATCATGAAGATATACTGTACATACGAGGAGGAGGAGAAAAAGAAGATCTTGAAGGGATTCCGTACATAAGAGGAGGAGGAGAAAAAGAAGATCAGGAATAGATACCGTACATAAGAGGAGGAGGAGAAAAAGAAGATCATGAAGACATACCGTACATAAGAGGAGGAGGAGAAAAAGAAGATCATGAATAGATACCGTACATAAGAGGAGGAGGAGAAAAAGAAGATCAGGAAGAGATACCGTACATAAGAGGAGGAGGAGAAAAAGAAGATCAGGAAGAGATACCGTACATAAGAGGAGGAGGAGGAGAAAAAGGATATCTTGAAGAGATACCGTACATAAGAGGAGGAGGAGGAGAAAAAGATCTTGAAGGGATACCGTACATAAGAGGAGGAGGAGAAAAAGAAGAAATGTAAGAAGTAATTGACTTATTCCTCTGGTATTTATTCTGCATTTTTTTTTTACTCTTTAGATTTGTAACGAGTTGTTCTGTTTATTTTATTTTATTTTTTTTATGTCCGACGTCTACACCTTATAACTTATTTCTTTACCCGCTATCATTTGAAGACGTTTTAGCTTTTGTCCCTACAGAGATCCATGTTATGTATTTATTGTGCGAGTATACCACATACAATGAAGCTTTCTGATTCCTTGCAACATATATAGATAGATTTCCATCTTTATTTTCAGTTCGCGGCACATTTTAAAGGTTCATCAAGTCTTCCACTCTTTCATTTCCAATAATATCTCAAAAAGTTTGATACTTTTGTCCTATTGTTTCCCTCTAAAACTTATTTTCTTTATTTTGGAATCTTGTTTGTCTGTATTCTCCCGGTCAGATAACTAGCCATAGTTGCCATATTGCAAATGCCTGCAAAACCATATTTGAAAAAAAGGCCTTTTGTCATATCGCAGAAGCTACGTAATGTTTATAGTTCCTGATACTCCTGTGTTAAAATAGTGTTGAAAATAGCTAACTATAATGTGAAGGTTTAATTTTTATATTTTCTCTGCTTTGAAATAGGGAATTAAGAATTTGAGAAAAATGTAAAGAAACAAAAAACCTTTGTTCCGTAATCCTTTACGATGTGGGCGATTATAACCTTCTACAACTTCCTATCGCTTGAAGTTTTAAGCAAAGCTTATCTTATTCCCTTTTCCCCTCAGGTTTTCAATATGTCCTGTGAGTCTCAACTTCTCCACGTCCTCTTTCTTTATGCGTCTCAGAAATTTCAACTCTTGTTTTTATCGGAAGCAAAATTATTCTTTTCGTTTCTATTTTCCTTAAGATTACCTCGTTACTCAATGTTCCTTTCATGACATCCTTCAGTAGAACCACATCTGCTATCTAAAGTCTCATCTTCATCTGTGAGGAAATTGCCTAAGATTCAATGTCATATAAGAAAATTGATATTACATTACTTTTGAGCACTCATTGTTTTCAACGAAATTTGCCGGCCTAGTTTCTCATACTGAAATCTCAGTAATTATTGCAGATTCCTTTAATTGTAATTACTGAAATTTTTTCGACGTTAGTTTTGACTTTGTTTGGGGAAGGTGGAGAAAGAGATTAAGGCATAAACAAATAAATTAGATCCGTTCAAAAAAGCGATATCTAAGGTTTAAAGTGCATTTTAAAAATGAAAAATCTTTCTTGAAAGATTTATTTTAGCTTTAATTCCAAGATAATAGATTAACTTTAATATTTCCAATAAGCAAAATACTTTTCTAAATATCAAATCGAATTTAAATTTAAATTGATTGGAATTTTTTTGAGATCACTAAAATCGACTAAATCTTTCAGCATAATGCACTTTATTAAATAAAACTTTCAAAAATAAAATATAATTTTCTGAAAATTTATGAGTGAGATAAACAAATTTAAGTTTAATTAATCGGAATTAAAACAAATATTACTTAATTTTAGTTTAAAATATCACAGAAAAGCATTTTTAACACGGAGGTGGTTTTTATGAGGTCATTAATCGACAATTTTAATGTTTGAAATTTTTTTTTAAATATAAATGCAATTAACAGTTTTATATAAAAATTTATTTGATGAATCCAATACTATTAAATAATAATACTTTATTGAATTTTTTTAATTTTGGCTTTATAGTTTTGTTTACGAATGATTTTGAAGAAATGTCAGAAAATTACCAATAAATTTAAAATTTACTATAGTTATCAATCTTATTTTCTGATAATGCCATGTATGGACATTCGTATTTAGAAAAAAATCAATTTATTTTACACAAAAAAAAAAAAATTATTTTTAAAATATTGGCAGTCGCTGAATTATAGCCAACTTTTCCATTTATGATTAGTAAATATAGTTTTTTACTTAATAATAACAATACCACCTAAATGCTACAAATTAATACAAATTTTTAAAAGATTTAAAACTTTAAAATTATTTATAATTAAAATGTAAAAAAATGAAAACAATTCTTGTAAAAATTCATTATTCATCGAACATTTTTTTCTTAAGACAATAGTATCCACAATATATCTTATTCATAAAAGCAATTAAATACTTTCTAATTAAATAATGTCCGACTTTTATTGCATTTGTTATTTTACAATTCAGAGCTGATTTTCTGTAACTAGGGATCGTGTTTGACAAAAAAAAAAATTGAAAAAATATTGATGATTTAAATGCTCCAATATAAACATTTTGTGCTTATCTTGAAAATTTAATTAAAAAATTAAATATAAATAAAAATAATTTCTCATTTAATTTTTTAAAAAAAAGAAACATTTCTAAAATAATTTCATTCATTTGCGAATAAGTCCTGACATTTTCATTAAAATCTGACCATAATTTGACTTTTGCAAGAATTTCCAAATCAATGTCTTTTTCACCGCAAAAAACACTAACATTTCCTATACTACGCTTTGCCCATCCCCACCCGTTGACGCAAGAAAAACAAGACGTTTCCCTTAACAAAAATTTATTTTAGAACATTCTAAAGAATTAAAAAATATAATTTAATAATAATAAAAATCCTCTTAATAATAACATAAAGATTTTGACGATAAAGCTTTATTTTTATTAAGTTTTGGGGGCATTTTTTTCATCAAGTTATGCTCATTTTTTGTGAATCTTTGGAGGTGCCTAAAATTTATAATAATAATAATAATAAAAAACTCTTGTCAACAACCAACTTTAAAAATTTTAAAAATAGTCAATACAAATTTGCAGCATTTACTTGAAAAGGAGATATAAATGAAAGTTTTATAATTGTGTCACTGTTTCGTAGTAATATAATGGCGGGGGGGGGCTTATTTTTCATTTCCGGTTGGAGTTATTTATTTATAGCTGTAGACTATAGATTTGAATAGATGCGATGAAGAGCAACAAACATTTAGATAAAAAACTCCCAGTTTAAAATTAATAAACGTGGATAACTGTGTATATTTTTATTTTGCCTTTATAGTTTGTTTATAGGACTATTTGTCGTTATAGTTTGTTTATAGAACTATTTTTCGTTATAGTTTGTTTATAGGACTATTTGTCGTTATAGTTTGTTTATAGGACTATTTGCCTTTATAGTTTGCTTATAGGACTATTTGCCTTTATAGTTTGCTTATAGGGATATTTTGTCGTACTCTTACATCTTTTCTTCAAAAATATTATTTTCGTGTGGGCTGACCGTGGAATATCATCCGCATTTATTTATTTTCAAGAGGTACTACAGCAGATATTAAATCATAATTTTGCAAAGAATAGTTTTACTCGCTGGAAAGATTAAGGTTTGTTCGAATCAAAAAGTTGTTGGCAAATTACAATTTTTGGAAGAGACATCAAAAAAGTTGTAAAATTTAGAATATCTTTTTCTTTGTGTTAATGCTTGTGACTTGAAAGAATGCGTACTCCATCAAGATACGATATGATATTTTTAATTGGACACAGGAAGGTAATTACATCTAGAATGTGGAACTCACATCAAACACAGAGTAAATGGGAATAATTTTGTTATCCGTATTCTAGTAGTTTTCTCAACAATGTTGGCCACTTTTTCCTTTCTGTTGTTTATTATAAATGAGAGGAAGTTACGACGTCTGTTACCCGTAAGTAACAAGAGAGCGAAGCATAATTCATTCAGGAGTATGGCTTAGCCAAGGAAAATTATGTGACGTGATTGAAGTATCATTATAGGAATTGACAACGCTTAGTAGAACGAAGGTGACACGACGAGAATAAATGAAGTCACGTGAGTGGCTGGTGGATAGTAGCAACAACAACAGGACACAATAGTAAAAGATCAACTACTGCGGCGGAGGATATATATGTCTCTTGCAGTGCAGCTCAAGAGAGGGGCATTATCACTTTATATCTTTAAAATGCCGTCGAAATGAATACTAAGAAAATCTGTTTTTCTTTCTCCATTATCATTTTCTGTTTTCACGTGGAAGCCGCCATGACAGAATGCTCGTAGAGAAATGAACGCTTTCGGCTAGGCCTATAGGATGAGAAAGTCTGATGCCATGGAGGCCCGAAACTTACTATAACCCTAGAACAGATATCACCTATGAAGCAATCTGATACGAATTATCTTTGTATAAAACGGACAGTACTCCAAATGAAATGCCGCTTTTATTTTATAAAGAAAAACTAATTGTTATATATTTCTGAAGTCCTACTAAGAAGATCAAGTATCATAAGTAAGAAAAATAAGGAATAGAAAATCTAAGGTATATTACGTGCAGTAATTCAAGAAGTAATTGTAAATTAACCGTTTCCTTATAAGGAAACATTTGGTATTCAGAGCAGTCAGTACAGTTTTCGGTTCAAATTTATAAAATCTTTCTATTCAAACAATTTTTCACGAGAATAGGCGTCTCATGTTCAGTAACTGTTATCATTCTTTCCAGTTGAGTGCTTCCTTCCTAGTATTTTGTTTGAAATAGTGTGGAACGTCAGCATCTTGATTATGAGATTGTTTTTTCTTTCAGCTGCATGTGATATCCATTTTAGTTGTTGTTGTAAGTCAACAAATGATATCGTTTCTGATATTTGGTATAGTTCTTTGTGATTCTGTAGCACCTGTTCACAAGGTTCAAAGAAGGGTGATCTTTGCCAAGACTTCACTCGCTCAAAGCCACTTTTTTAACCAATGATATGAGAAAGCTGTTGTGTATAGCTGACAGTTTAGATATTTCTTAATTAGTTTTGGCGCCATCTATGACATCCATATGAAAGTTTCGATCTGATGAGGTGATTTAAGAACATGATTCGAGTTTCAGTATAATGTTTTGTTTTTAGAACAATTTGTGGACTTAAACATAACTACCTCTTGTGCAGCCTATTATATGTTCAATTTTTTATCTGCTATGCTATTTTCATCATTGTTCTATACACCGAGCTAATTAAAGTGTTTTAAATTTTTTATTCCATGGCCTGATTTTTATGATGGATTCAGGGTAGGTACCATCATTGCTTTCATTCCAATTTCAGATCATAGTTTTTGTTTTGGAAAGTTTTAGTTTAATTCCTATTTCTTGGTAGATGTTAAGTCATTTCTAAAGCTTAAAAACAAGCTTAAAAAGGAAAGCTCATAATTATAGTCTAAAAATAATGTTTAGTAGTTATTTTCTGTTAGTTATAAGGCTATATAGTAAGTAAGTCCAGTAGACTCGACCGTGGAAAATAAATCCACGGCCTCACCACGCAG